TATCTTAAGAGCGCCGCCTATCGTTATTTACATAGATTCATGGCCTATAGTTTCTCAGGTAGGAAGGATAGCTCAGGTACTCTGACCAAGCCCGAGTTCTTTTTCGTTTGGTGCATGGTCACTCGGACTAGAGTCAATTTGGGTAGCTGGTTTGCCCTCCACCTCCGAACTGTGCTAAGTAAGAAAAATAAGCCATTAATCTTAGGCTCCTTTATTACTCAGTTAGCTGTAAATTTTGGGGTTTTGGACTTGAGCAATCATAACTTACATCGTGCTTGTATTATGGAGCCCCTTGATTTGGTTTGTTTGGAGAAAATGGGTCTTGTGCGACAGGTGAATGGCGCTTTCCAGTTTGCTCCCCCGGGGCCAATCTCCGTTCCTCCGAAGCGCAAAGCTTCCAAATCCACTGCCCCGGAGGCTGGTGGTCCGTCCACGGAGGCCCCCGGACCATCCTCTTCGGCACCTCCACCATCTTCCTCCGTCGATAGCCAGCTTGCAGCCCTCCGATTCCAAATGCAGCACATGGACACTCGTATGGATCGGATGGAGCGTCAAATGGGCGGGATGGCCCAGAATATAGCGCAGTATCTCCATCACGTGGGCTTCCGCCCGCCTTTTCCCCTACAACCATGATTCATTTCTGCCCTCCTCCGTTTTCAAGGGAAGTGTCGTTGCCCGGTACCTTTGTTTTGATCTTTCTTTGCTTACATTGAGAACAATGTATGGTTTAGGTGTGGGGGAGGGTTGACTATGCTTTGGTTGTGTTTTTAGTTGTCTGGTTAAGTTTTTCCCTTGCCTTAGTGGTTCCTTTCTTTAAACTGTGATGAATGCAATTGAGATATGAGTGTACGTAGCAAGTTCATGCCATGGGGTGTTCTATTTTTCTCGATGACGAATTGATTGATGAATATGCTGAACTTGACATAAATTTGACCACTCGTGCGATTTTTGAGCCTAATTTTTCGTTTGTGTGAGTGGTTATTGCACATGGTTTGTCATTCTAGAACTTGCTCGGTTATGCATGTCAAGACCACATTTAAATGAATTTAATGCATTGAAATGATAGGGCACCTAGGAATGAGCTATTTTTGGACTTTCTTAAAACCCACCCTTGGATTATTTACCATTAGGGAGCCAAGTTGAGCTTTACATCCTATTTTTCGCTTGAGACCCTAGTTTTTAGCCGCAAAACCTCTCTTTAGACTTTCTTTTCGAACCTCATGTGAAGAAGTGTTTTGATTTCATTATACAGAATTTTGAAGTATTATTTGGGAGGCATTACGCCTAGCTATGAGAGAAAAGAAAAAAAAAAGAGGAGGAAAATGTGAAAAGGGGACAGAGTGCAGGAAATCAGCGAGTAAAGTTGATGTTTATGCTGTACAGGATTGAATCTTGAAAAAAAAAAAAAGCAAAAGGAAAAAAAGAGGAGGAGAAAGAAAGGTCGAAGGTTGTGGCAAGTTCTAATTCACTTCACTTGTGTTATGGTTGAGATGCCTTTAAATTTCAAATGTGCAAGAATCTATGTAATGAATTTCTGGACACTTTCTTTATACTTTTGCACCCTTTTGACTCCTTTTAATGCTACCTTCTCACCCTAGCCCCATTACAACCTTGCAAGTCCCTTGATTGCTGCATTTAAATTCATGAGTAAGTGGTGGAGATATGATATATGAGCAAGTTTATGGTAGTGTCATTCTATTGTGTTGTTTTGAGAGCCATCTTATATACATTTCATAAACACTTTGGAGTGAATGAGTGCACTTTAAACTGCGAGAATTGTTGATTTGGTATATTCTGATTTCGATAAGGTTATTGGGGATCTTGGAATGCCATTCTTGGTACGAACTACTGTGATTTGCTTAGCATCTTGATCGTACTTCTAAGTTAATTATGCTTGAGGGCAAGCATAGTTCAGGTATAGGGGAGATTGATAGGTTACATTTTAGTGGGTATTTTGGGCATTATTGCACAATTAATTGACTAAATATTTTCGTTAATTGGGTGGATTCTACTGATATTTTGTTTTGGTGCTAATTGCAGGAATGGTTGCTGAAAAGTGCTTAAATTCAACTTTTAGAAGATTCATCGGACGTGGGGCCCGTTTGAGAAGCTGAAGAAACCTAATTGTAATAGATTTTATTTTAATATATTTCTAGGGAGTCTAGCTGCAATTTTAAAACAAGTAACAATTTTTCGGCTATTGTAGGGGATTGTATTTATCTCTCGCGCGGCTTAGGTCAGGAGGGAGTTTTTTTTCTTTGGCTTTTGAATGACACTGGGTGCCGCAGCTTGTAGGGGAAAAGAAAAAGAACAGAGAGGGGCGGCAGCTTTGTAAAGGAAAAAGCAGCAGAGACAGAGGGGCCACCATTCTTGACTTCTGTACTTTTTCCTTTTCCATCTTTTGTGAACTTTGAAAACTCAAGATTTGGTTGACCGAAATTGGAAGATCAAAAGAAGCAATTGAAACCTTTCTCTCGTATGTTTGCTTTGTGAAGGACCAATATGAGCCGTTATTGTTGACTTCGTATTGGTTCTGCGTCTCTTGTTGACTTGGGAATTCCGTGGCTTGTGATTAGCCTTGACCGAGAAATCAAGCAATTGAAAGTTTTCCTCATATGCTTGCCTAACACCAAAAAGAAAGAAAGCATCGATGACCCTTCCCTACCTTGTACGCGCGGCCTGTTCACTAATGGGAAACTAAACCCCTAATTCTAGTCAAGGGAACTACTGACGATTTGGTTCAGCAATTACTGTGAGATCGAATTTATTTTAACTATTTCCTCCATTTATTAATATTTATATATTTCCGATTTCTAATTGTTATAGCCTTATGTATGATTGATTAGTGCGCAATGATTAATTGTTTATACAGGCTATTTTGCTATATAGGAGTAATTGAATCCGTAATTGTTCGTTAGTTCTATTCCAGTAGCAACTGGCATAATTGGATTTGTGTCAGGGGAATATTTGATCTGGCTTGAATGAACCCTCGTATCGTGTTTGTTGGTTAGGATTGGGCCTTTCTAATTACTAATGCAATCTAGAAATTAAATCCTACGGTCGTACTTAGGGTTGTTTTTGGGTTAGAGAAATAACTAACGGTCGTACCTTAGCTATCGATAAATTAAGGAAGGGTTGGTTGTTTAGCGCGTGCGGGACAACTATAACCAATCTATTAATAAATGTTGGAATTATTTCTGCATCAATGATCAGTGCATGAACCATTTCTGAAGTATACCCTTGGCTAGAGTTTTCTTTCAGTTATTCCTTTTAATTAATTATTTTCTGCATTTAATTTGTTCAGTTGGCATTTGATACCAAAACCCCCCATTAATCTTGATTTGAAAAGAAACAAATATCTCTCCAGTCCCTGAGGAGACGACCCTGCTTACCACTGTCTACTAGTTAGGGAATTCAGTTAAATAATTAATTCAGGTATATCGGATTAAGCAAACTCTTCGGGAACAGGGTGAATCAAGTAACCCATTGCACACCTAGAATCCCTGCTCCAGTACTCGAATTGATTACTGACTGTTTCAGGTGGTAGTTAGGATTTATTTATTATTATTGCACAGGTTCGGCACCTGTCACAGTTATAAAGGTGTCATCATTTTTTGGTGCAATATGAAAAATTCTTCATCATTACTATAGACAAACTATGAATCTTGGAAAAAAATGCACAATTGTAAAATTTGCTCGTGATGTTTGTATGAAGATTTACAGATGAATAAGGATTCTCTTCTCCTTATATGTTTCTCCATTTTCTAGAGAATATCTATTTTTTGACATTGATTTTTCTTTTACAATCTCAACTAATAACTAATGAGAAATTTTTCATACTTCAAATAAGAAAGTTTGATACGTATAATAATTGGAGATAGAGTTTAAGGGTAGGTAGATAGTTTTAATTATAATTACCAATACTATTAAGATGGAATCAATTGGAGTGTTTTATTTCTTTTAATTAGTGCCACATTAAAATGAAATAATTCTAATTAAAAGACATGAGGGTAATTTAGGAATAACAAAAAACTAAGATAAAAAAGTGCTTACACTTACACTCCCTCGTACCAAGATTCATACTTTTTATATAGTAATGATAATGATAATGATAATGACTAGCTAAAGCAGCAGATAACTTTGAACAATGCAATGAGCTGGGCAAAGGTGGTTTTGGTCAAGTCTACAAGGTAATGTAAGCTCCTCATGGTATTCCAAGCTGCTTGAAGAACTAAATGAGTTGTTTGCTAGGATTGGAACTTAATTATCATTGCATCTGCAGGGAAAGCTGTTAGATGGCCAGGAAATTGCAGTAAAAAGCTTGCAAACACTTCTGGCCAAGGCATTGAGGAGTTTATGAATGAAGTTGTGGTCATTTCTAAACTCCAGCACGAGAACCTTGTTAGACTCCTTGGCTGCTATGCTGAAAGAGGAGAAAATGCTAGTCTATGAATACATGCCAAACAAAAGCTTGGACTTCCATCTATTTGGTTTGTTGATGAACATCGCTGCACGGGAAATTTTCCGTAACACATTATACTAAGTCATATTGATCTACGTCATTATTGCTCTTTCAGATTCTAATAAGCCAAGTGTACTCGATTGGAAAAAACGCGTCACCATCGTTGATGGGATAGGCAGAGGCCTCCTTTACCTTCACAGAGATTCAAGATTAAAAATCATTCATAGAGATCTAAAGGCAAGCAATATTCTCTTAGATGAAGAGTTGAGACCCAAGATATCAAATTTTGGCTTGGCAAGAATTTTCGGAGGCAATGAAGATCAAGCCAATACAAGGAGGGTTGTGGGTACATAGTGAGTACATGTCGCTCTCTTGTTTAATTCAATCAATTCATCATGTCTAAACTGTTTTTCTTCCCCTTGCAGTCCTCATAACTCAAACTAATTTTTTACTCCTTTTGCATATATATATATATATATATATATATATATGTATGTATGTATGTATGTATGTATGTATGTATGGTGATGAACGTAACATTGCCCCCGAATATGCAATGGAAGGCATATTTTCAGAAAAATCAGACGTCTACAGCTTTGGGGTGCTGCTATTAGAGATTGTGACAGGAAGGAGAAATAGTAACTTCTATTATCTCGAGAATGAGCTGAGTCTACTTGGGTATGTAAGATAATACCTTCGACTATGAAGAGTATCATAAGGGCAAAGTTCCTTATCCCATTCTTGCGTAAAGCAAATTAAATTCACTGTTTCATTTTGCTTCCTCAGGCCTGGAAATTGTGGAATGAAAAAGAAGCAGTTAAACTGATAGATGCAGCTATGTTTGTCCCGGGTATCGAAAAAGAGGTCTTGAGATACGTCCATGCAGGGCTATTGTGCGTGCAAGAATTTGCAAAAGATAGGCCAGGTATGTCTTATGTTCTATCCATGCTTAACAGTGAAATTTCAAATCTCCCTCTTCCCAAATTACCGGCATATACAAGAAGATTAGGATCTTCAGAAAGTGATTCTTCTTCGCAAAGGGTTCTATTAACAATGTCACTGTAACGATTGTTGAAGGCCGATAACAGAATCCACTTCACAGCATGCAATACTAGTAATGCATTCAACAAGATGGATGTAGCACAACATCAGTTTGCTTTGGAGGTATCAGCATACAATCTGCTGCTTGGTTATGTTTATGCATCTCAGTCTGACCATATATTTGACAGCTTACTGGGTATAAAGTATATAAATAACTATTTACTTGCTATCATGGACAGTTTTAGCAATAGTCTCTCCTATGAATACTTTCTTCTAGTCTCTGTTTCTTAGGCTGACTTTATGCATCTGAAATTATTTTCTCAGAGATAAGAGCAGATTTCAACGCACAATTTGGATTATTTGCAGAAAACCAATTAGTTTCTGGATGACGTATTTGGATGTCAATGTCTTACCCATGGTTCTAGATTGGATTTTTAGTACTTTTCCTAGTCGACAGATAACTCAATTTTAGGAAATTTTTATGTTCATATTTCTTTATCTATATACGAATTTGCATGCTTGACTTATGACCATGTATCACTTAGAACCACTAAGCTTGAATATGGAATCCAATAATGTTAATTACTTGAGAGTTCACCTTTACTTATTTGCTTTGTTTGAAAGAATCTAAAGTGTTACTGGCTTGTAAGTATTTCAATTCGTTGATGTACAGAAGACTGGTAAAATAATATTAAACAAATAACCACTTTTTAATTTTGGTTATCTATTTATCAATGTCCTATTTTCCTTTGATACACATAAATGGAGTCTGAAAAATACTAGTGGCACTAAAATCGTAAGCTTAAACTGATTGACCATGTTGTAAACTGAAGATCATCTTGGTGCTATGGTCAAACTGATTACTCACTTTAGGGATCATTGGTTTTTGTTATGGAAAGTTCATATTCGGGATGTAATTCCTTTTTTGAATGTGTTTCATTTTGCAGGTTTAGAATATCATTTCTTGGCTCTTAGAACGTTTTCGTATGGCTCGAGCCATTCTCTATGAAGTTGAGATGGTACTGCCTATTTGTATATGTGATATTGTAATTTTGATGAATATTAGTGTATACTGCGAGACTTGATTAGTATGTTAACTAATGGAAGGTTTCATTCATTAATACTCGAAGGAGTCGCTAGATAATTTGCTATAAATGAATTTATGTCTTTTTCTTATTTCTTGATGGACATCAACTAAAGAGGCTTGCGAATGGATTTCTTTTAAGTTTTGGCCTTCCAAAAAAAAAGAAAAGAAATAAAAATAGAAAGAAAAGAGAAAAAAGAAAAAAAGAAGATGTTTTTGTGACCCGCAAGTCCGCTAGTCACAAGGGTAGTGGGTCTAATTTAACTAGTGGATCCCAATAGCACTTGTGACTAGCAAAACATGACACAAAAGATCTTTTGTGACTATTATTTGTATGTCACAAATAAATTCTAGTTTTTTTGACTTTTTATTACGTTCAAAATACAAGTCATAAAGGTATTCTTACAAGTCACAATTGATAATGTGACATTCATATACAAGTCATAAAAATTTTGTGACTATTAAATCTGTGACTTTCATATACATGCCACAATATAGTTACAAAAAGTTTTTGTGATTGTTTAGATCCTTTTTTGACTATCATTGACTAGTCACAAAAATATCCCAAACTATCACTATTTGGATTGCTGAGTTTTGCAAAAACTAGTTTTTTAAATACTATTAAAATTTTTAAAAAGTACTCTAAAAGATACTCTAAAAAGTAGTTTAATTTTTTTTATATTTAAAAAATATTCCAAAACATATTCTAAAAACTCTTATACTTTTAAATATCCCAAAATATTTTCTAAAAATATCCCAAAATATACTATAAAAATTTTGCTACAGTTAAATTTTTCAAAACACCCCCAAAAACAACTAATCTAAACGGACATTTTCTAGTAGTGAAACATGTTTTGCAGGATTAATAAAGTCTTCAATGTCTAGGATCCTAATGGCTAGTATGTTGAACTTTTTGGACTTCAGTAAATCTTGTAAAGTTTTCATTGTGGGCATAACATTGGCTAAGAAATTATGATGAACTAAATTAATCAATTGTGAGCCGCACAAAATGTTGATTACATAAAAAAGAAATTAAACCTTTACTATGCATTGTATAATTACAAAAACTCGGAGATTACAGAAACTCAAAGATGGAAGATTATCATATTTTACCGCGGTTGTAAGTTGTAATAGTAAGAAAGCAATTTTCTATGATGTGTCAAGCCAGTGCATAAAACCAATAAAAAATAAATTGATTTTTTTTCTTGTTATTATTTGTCTATGACCTTTTATCTAGTCATTAACTGGTATTTTCTTCTAGCAAATATATATGATATAGTTAACTTCTGTTATCATTAAATAAAAAAAAGGGGCACCACAATAATTGAAGATAATTTTTACATATAATGATTTGAGATAGGAGCAAGGGTTAGTGAATATATTTTTGGGTTAATCACATTTTATCCCCTTAAAAAATACCCTATTTCTCAGTTTACCCCCTAACCTTTAATTTTGCTCACTTAACCTCCTTTAGGACAGAATTGCTCTTGTATTATTTTGACTTTTCATTTGCCTTGTTTTCCTTTCTTTTATTTTATTTTCTCTTTCTTCTATTTCTTTTTCTCTTTCTTCTTTATTTAATTCTTCCTCTTTCCTACAAAAATCTTCACCTTAATGATTGAAATTAAAAAAGAGAAATTGCAGAGATCTATCTTCTCCTTAAATGATTAAAAAAATAGTCAAATCATTTTCCTAAAATACAATTTTTTTAGCCTTTCAATTCTTTTAATTTTGGATTTTCCTCTTTCCTTTCTAATTTCTCATTTTATTCCCAAGAAAATATCTTAAAATGAAATTGTGACCTGATTAATAATCATCAATTGAAATTTGTGGCACGTGGCATCATACAAAAAATCAAAATTAGTTTTTAATACCTTTTAAACTTTCACCCAAAAATATGCAATTACAAACTCAAAACAAAAATTTTCGTTGAAATGGAATTTCTATTGGGAAGAATGAAAGAGAGAAGAAAGAGAGAAAGAAAGGAAAACAATTTCATCTTATGATATTTTCTTGAGAATAAAATGAGAAACTAGAAAGGAAAGAGGAAAATCCAAAATTAAAAGAATTGAAAGGCTAAAAAAATTATATTTTAGGAAAGTAATTTGAATATTTTTTTAATCATTTAAGCAGAAGATAGATCTTTGCAATTCCTCTTTTTTAATTTCAATCATTAAGGTGAAGATTTTTGTGGGAAAGAGGAAGAATTAAATAAAGAAGAAAGAGAAAAAAATAAAAGAAAGGAAAACAAGATAAATGAAAAGTCAAAATAATGTAAGGGCAATTTTGTCTTAAAGGGGGTTAAGTGAGCAAAATTAAAGGTTAGGGGGTAAACTGAGAAATGAAGTATTCTTTAAGGGGATAAAATGTGATTAACCCTTACATTTATTATTGATATGTAATCAATTGCAATTTTTTTTCTTGGTTAGTGTCACATCAAAAATGAGACGCGTTTAACTCTAATTAAAAGACATGATGGTAACTTAGGCAAAACTGGACATAATATGTAACTTTAATAATCAATTATAATAGACTAATTAGAATACCAGAAATTAAAACTACAAAAATGTATACACTCAGAAGTGCTAAAACTCATGTTACTTTTATAATAGTAATTTGCTGTATTATAGGATTTTACCTAAAGATTAGTTCATTGAGTTGAGTTGGTCAGCTTCAATAATGATGGCGGACAAATGGTAATTGGATCTTGATTCCGAGTAAAAGTGCAGTCTAACTGGGACCATATGTTATTAAGCTGACTCTACCTCCCTCAAATACTGATAAAGCTCTAAAAAAATTTAGTTTATCATAATCAAACACATGGATTTCATCATGCATGATGGCTTCATGTATTTGACAAGAGCCACGATTGGGTTTAATTTTCTTATGCCATGACTTGGTCTCAACATCTAGGAAGAATGCAAAATCTTGTATTGCCGTATTATATTCCCAGTGTAAAAAATTTGTGGAGGGAATGAAATGGAGTTAGATTGTTAGATTGTTCATCATCAATGATAACTTCTCAATCACCAATGAGGGGATCCCTTTTTCTACTACTTGCTTGCTTCTGTTTAGAAGCTTGTACGGCGGTGGATTATATAACAATCACTCAGCCTCTGCAGGACTCCAAAACTATAGTTTCTTCAGGCCAAACTTTCAAATTAGGATTTTTCAGTCCTGCAAATAGTAGTGATCGATATGTTGGAATCATGTTCAATGTTCCTGCAGTTGCAGTAGTATGGGTGGCTAATAGAGACAGACCATTAAATGATTCATCAGGAACTCTGACAATCTCAGGAGACGGCAATCTTGTGGTCTTGAATGGGCAGAAGGAGATACTATGGTCATCTAACGTTTCAAATTCTGTGGCAAATTCTACTGCACAACTCTTGGATACTGGAAACTTGGTTTTGACAGACAATTCCAGTGGAAGAACTCTGTGGGAAAGTTTTCAGATTCCAACAAACTCATATCTACGGTGGATGAGATTAAGTTCAAGTACGAAAGGCCAGAAAATCCGATTGACCTCTTGGAGAAGTCCTTCTGATCCATCTATCGGAAGTTTCTCCCTAGGTGTCGAACCCCAGCAAATTCCACAACTCTTCCTTTGGAATGACAATAAACCTTATTGGCGCAGTGGTCCATGGAACGGCAATGTCTTTATTGGAATTCCTGGCATGGATCTAGTTTATCTAAATGATTTTAACCTGGTAACGGATGATTCAGGATTGGTGTCTGCTACCTTCACGTATGCAAATGATACTGCTTTGTTGTACTATGAATTGAGTTCCTCAGGGTCTATACTGCAGAAATTTTTATCAGATAGAAAAGGGGATTGGGAGGTTACATGGTCAAGCCCAAGAAGTCCATGTGATGTCTATGGCAAATGTGGACCTTTTGGAAGCTGCAATCCTCATGGTTCACCTATTTGTACATGTTTGCAAGGTTTTGAGCCTAGAGATAAGGTGGAATGGGAAGGAGGAAACTGGACTAGCGGTTGCACAAGAAGGGCAATGCTGCAATGTGAGAGAAATAATTCTGTTCGTTCTGACGGCAAACAAGATGGATTCTTGAAGCTCCCAAACACTAAAGTTCCAGATTTGGCTGAATGGGTAGCAACTTCAGAAGACGAATGCGGTACTCAGTGCTCAAATAATTGCTCCTGTTTAGCTTATGCCTCTTATCCAGGCATTGGCTGTATGCACTGGACGGGAAGCTTAATTGATATACAGCAGTTTCCCTCTTCTGATGGGGCAGATTTATACATACGTGTGCCTTATTCTGAACTTGGTAAGACACTTCTTTTACAATATTTTAGTAACTCTGTACTCTTAATGTAGCATTTTATTTTCTGCTTCCGCAATCAAATAGGATTTGAATTCGATCAAGGCTATATTTTGGAATGTAACTAAGTTATCAAATCTCCTTCACTTCTTTTTACATTTT